GCAGGAAGGCGGAGGAAGGCAGAGATCAAAACAAATGAATGAAACTACATGTTGTGGTTCTCAAGAGATAATACAAAAACTTGAAACACTTACTAAATACAAGCCTGGGTGATTGTAATAATTGTGAAGTGACATTGATTATTGTACAGTCACTCACAACACTCTGTTCTTGGGGTGAGTGATGAGCTCCAGAATGAACACTGTGACTCCTGTTGTCTCGGTAGGGTTGTCAAAATCCTTCGTCCGTTGTAAAATATTTTTTTCAACACAATTTGGTATAGAAAATTTTTTGAGTGACTACATATCTAATTTATCGATATTAACTAAAGTATAATACAGACGTCATTATGCTGTTATTAATTACCACCTTTAGCAATGACAGTGAACAGGTAGTTACAATGACTTCACCTAAGTGTATTCCTCCGCATACACTATAATACAGCATAATACACTATGTAGTTTTTATGAACTTATAATATTACTAATGATAAGAAGAGTACACGGGAAGAGATGGAATACTCGATTGAATTATATTTTACACCTTCCTGCAGGGTCGTGAGCGCTGAGGTGGCTGGCCATAATGAGGTGTTGTTATGGGTGTTGCTTAGTGACCGACACTCACTTAACTTAATAGCTTCCCTTGATAATATGTACCAGCTCGATAGTGTATGAAGCTTGTTTATAACTCGGCCAGTAGAATGTATTACCCATAAATAATTTGTGTGCATACAAACGGATGGATGGACGGTCAGCGTTGCCTAATCACCAGATAAAATAAACTGGGGTGTCTAATCTTCAGGTAATAACAACCATCTTCAACAACTCACCTTGTACTTTTAGACTTGGTGAAGTTTGCCAGTGCCTCCAGCCGAGTACTGTTGCCGAGGAAGACCGATCCTCCTCCTTCTGTTCCTCCTCCTGCCACGCCATTGTTCTCAGCGGAGGGATTCACTGAGGGATTTTTAAGGCACCAGTTCGGTAAGAGACGCATTATGGAGGAGGTTTCACTCAGTCACTCTGGATCAGACAACTCTCTGCATCACACCTACATATCTGGTGGTCACAGCGACGGAAACCTTGTGTGAAATTTTTGGTGTCAAACTCGAATGCACAGTTGGTCTCAGTATTTGTTGTCTAGGTAAAATGCATGTACTATGTATATTCAGTTTCTTTATCAATTCAAAGATGTATTATATAATTTTGCCTTAACAATCACACATTATGTCTTTATTGTTGGTTTATCACTGTTTGTTTACGTCTGCTCTTCATATACGCCAGTAACGTAAGACACAGCTTCATGTATTGCAAACCTGAAATTCCAATCACAAACTGTTTCACCTAAAGAGAATATCTTTGAATTATGTTTAAAATAGTTCATGCATACAGGTACTGACACATACCAGTGTCTATAATAATAATAACAATAGTAGATTTTTCTTTTATATTATGTCTCAGAGGCGGATCCAGGAGGGCTGGGTCCAATACTTTTCTTTAATGCAGTATTGTACTCAGGCGTTTTTGTATCGTAAAAAGTAATTGCTATTGACCTCAGAATATCTCTTAATATCTAGTGCATATGGCCTCAAAATGTCCACCCAAAGCCCCCAACTGGGTGGGCTTCTGTGCTCGCCATGTTCCCCACCCACAACTTCTTGGACCCCCTTTTTTGATATTCTAGGATCCGCCCCTGCATCTTCTCCTGCCTGTCTCAGATCCACTATAATCACAGACAACTCCTCCCTATATCCAAGGACCACTGATCACTGCCCAGAAACTCCTAAAACTTTGCTCCAGACACAGTACTTGTATGCTAGTTCCTTCTGCGAGAGGATGGCGTGGCGGGTCTCCAGGGAGGAAGTTCGGGCGGTTATCAGGAGTAACTTATCACACACACACACACGTTACAAGTATTTTCACTCTGATCAACTAAAATTTCTCTCTTACCATCAACACATCAAAATCTACGAAATATTAATGTTCCTCATCATCCCTGTAATAATATTCCCTAACATATATTCTCACATGTATAACAGTAGCCTACAGCTCTTGGTGGGTAGAGATCTTAATGTACTCTACTACAGTTGTTTACAGTACGTGTAAGTGTTCTCCCTGTACGAGTCAAATGTACACACAGCCACAGAGCGCTGCCACAGCCCTGACGGTGGTGGCGTTAACAAAGTTGTTAACCTAAAAGTTTGTGGTGTTGCTCGTGTATTTTACGGAGTGTCCTTATTATTGTTATAAAATGTATTTTAAGAGTTACAGTATTACTTGTGTCCAGTGTTTCTTGAAACGTTTTGATCACCTTAGTGATATGGGAAAACACTCACTAGGTTCATTACTTTTCAATCAATTATCTATTTTGACCAATTTTCAAGTGTCAGACCACGAAAACAATGTAGTTTAAAGAAAGTTTATTTTTCATTCGAGCAGTAATCATGACTATAAGTTTCTTTCACGATAATAACACTAAACCATCTAAGTGTTAATATTAGCCAATAACCACCACGTCACGTTTGCTACACACCGCTACGGTCAGCGCCCGAGGTCCTCCCACCACGACGGCCAACCACCCACTGAGGTTTACCTGGACACCCTCCCCCCGTGCTGAGGGAGCTTGGTGAGATGCCGAACAGGAAATTTTACAATACAAGTTAAATCAATGCCTGGGAAGGTTAAATATTTGCCTCTAGTTTTTTTACCATCTTATGCAAGGTCTAAGGAATACAGTGATACGTTTAAAGAGTGATGAAACGTAAAATATTAACGAGGATATAGTCTCTGTGGCAACTTATAGTTTGTCTGCCACAGGTGTTTCCCGCCACAGTGACTATCTACTGTACCTACACGTAGCTCTGGGGAATACACGACCTTCATAATAGAACAATGTTTACATTTCACATATTATCTTAATTTATATCTTATCTATAGCATACTTGTTAACATTATATAGACGATATTTGGTGCTACTAAAGCGTGCGGTCTATAAGATGTTTAGATTATGTTAGGTCAGGTCAGGTCAGGTCAGCACCCGATATTTTTAATGTGTTAGGATAGTGCAAACCTGGATCCTTCACAGTACAGTACAGTACATATGATTATTAATTGCTGTACTAAAATAGTCAATATTTTGCCCCAGTGGCGCATCCAGAACTTGACAAAGGGGGGAGGGGGGAGGGGAGGTGTTATTCTTAATTTTTGTCTTTGCAAACAGTATCTAAAGTATCTAATGACTATATGAGAATTAGCTCTTATTTTCGATAATGTAACTTGTACAGTACTTTATTATCTCCCTTGTGCAGTAACCAGACAAACTTTAGCCAGAGTACATGCAGGTGTGGAATTTTGTTTATAAGATTTTCAGAATAAAACGGCTTACTATTCAAGTATAATTAGTCGTTTGATCAGGAATTTATTACAAAACAAATAAGAGACAATCGCTGAATCAGTTACTGAGTAATAACTATGATTTTATACATTATTGGCAGCCAAGGTGATTTTTTCCATTCGAAAATTCATCAATATCTTTATCATGATTTAACTTAAGGTCTGGACATACAGCATCGAGAGTGTTCCAAAGGTCTGGTTCCAGGTATGTTAAAGCACTGAAGAAACTCTCGTTGGTGGCAGTAGTGTTGGGAAGTGTTGCAAATATCTGCAGTAAAGTAGAAACATTTGGACAATCTTGATGCAACAATGATTCAAGAACATTTCCCGGCCTCTCCTTAATTTCTTGTCTCTTCCTATAATTTTGCCAGAGCAAATATCCAGCTTCAATGACAGCTACATCTCCCCCAAGACATTTTCCATAAAACTCAATTACCGTACAGTACCGTACAGTACAGTACAGAGAGGGAAGCAAGGTTTTCCAACAGTAGACTCCTGAGTCAAGGATCAAATCTTTGGTTGAGTTGTGCCAGTAAAGTCCTGTTACAGTAAACTTGCACACTATTGTTTGGTGTTGCTGGAGGGTTTGCTTTACGTTTTTGGTGTCTGATAGTTCGAGGCATCGGGATGACATCTCTGTACACTTCTTCAACGAGAATGGGCGGCTAGAAGAAGCGTCTTTTCTCAATAATTCATGAATACACAGCATACTGGTTGATGGCTAGGTCAATTGGGTTTTAATAACTGTATCTGTGGATTTTCTACAACACAAGGCATATGGTGAATTCATTCTTTTCTGGGGACAAAAAACAAATTATTTTCCCAGATCTACTTACCTAATGGGGTGAGTGAGGTAAAAGGTCTTAGCCAGTTACCCGGTAATTTTACACCATAATTCTTTATAAAGATGAAGATTCATGGGCTACTGTACCTCAGGAGAAGGATTACCGGGTTTGCCTACACGATGAACATCAAATTACAGTAGTTTGGGGAATTTATTTTTCATAAATAGTTTATATTATACGTATCAAAATAAGACAAAACCTGTATATGACTACATCTGTGATTCCACACCTTCACTTGCAGGTAATGGAAGGAATATTGCTCCAAACAACAAGGGAAAATTAATAAACTTGAATCCCCGTAAAAAATTTAAACAAGAGTTCCTCCATAACCTCTTCTTGTGCTTTGGTCGACGTTTCACCAGTAACTTGACATACTTCCTGTGATCTAATAAATTTTGCCTTGGTAACATTGCATCACTGAATTAAGAGATTAACATCGTCCCTGTTTAATGCCGAAGAACTACTGATCTGTCATGAATGCCCCAATGTATAACATAAAATTATGTCACAAGTCTTTAATTTTCTCCTTAAAGTTTCTACTGTACCTGCTTTGATACTAAAATCATACACTCTCACTGTCTTGCCCACAACAAGGCCTCTCATTATACCTATCGAATATACCTCCCTCCTCCTACCCTATGCAAATCAATCCAAAATCACATGGTAGAACAAATATTTACAGTAGTTTAGGAAAATAAAAATTACAGTACTGTATATTATAAAAGGCTTATTGTGCTTTATTATTCAACCTCATAAAGTAAACATGTATAATTGTATAAAAGAATTACTGTACTTCATTATTCAACCTCATAAAGTAAACATGTATAATTGTGTAAAAGAATTACTGTACTTTATTATTCAACCTCATAAAGTAAACATGTATAATTGTGTAAAAGAATTACTGTACTTTATTATTCAACCTCATAAAGTAAACATGTATAATTGTATAAAAGAATTACTGTACTTTATTATTCAACCTCATAAAGTAAACATGTATAATTGTATAAAAGAATTACTGTACTTTATTATTCAACCTCATAAAGTAAACATGTATAATTGTATAAAAGAATTACTGTACTTTATTATTCAACCTCATAAAGTAAACATGTATAATTGTGTAAAAGAATTACTGTACTTTATTATTCAACCTCATAAAGTAAACATGTATAATTGTATAAAAGAATTACTGTACTTTATTATTCAACCTCATAAAGTAAACATGTATAATTGTGTAAAAGAATTCCTGTACTTTATTATTTGACCTCAAAGTAAATGTAAATATGTATCAGATGTGTAAAAATATTGTTCTCAATCTGATCAAATTTCACTAGACAATTTAATGACTAAACGGAAGAGCGAACACTATCATAAGAGAGATAGTTATAAATCTAAAACAACAGTGAAACCTCTATTTAACGGACTACTATATGGAGAGGAAGCCCGTAACATCGAGGGTCTGTTAGATGTGAAACCTCCATCTAATGAATTATATAGATGTGAAAGTCCGTTATATCAAGGGTTTCGTTATTTATGAAACTATCTAACCGATTATATGGAGGAAGATAGGTCCGTTAAGTTATAAAGAGGTCTCACTTCTAGTGGAGATGCTACAACAACACTAACATTCTCCACAATAACATCTTTGGCTGGTACAGGTATTAGGAAACATTCACAAAATCATTCATCGACATATTTATAAGCACAATGCTGTTAATACTCATAAATCATAAATTAAAAACATCCTTTCATGCTGAGTCAGTCATCAATTGAAGCACTACAGTATTAAAAAACTTAAAAAAAAAAAAAAAACTACAATATTAAAAAATATATCACCAGGGTTTATTATTTGTACAGCACTGAAAATCTGTTAAAATTTATCTATCTATATCACCACAATCAGGGAAGTATTATTCCTAGTATGGCAACTAAAATGAAGAATTCTATTAAAACCTATTCTAGAAAAAAAAAATATGATGAAACAAATGAGTGACTATTATTCAGTGATTCATGAACACATTTGTCATTAACTAATCTAAAAAAAATAATGCTGGGAACATATACAATGAAAAACTGATGTGTTGATCAAAACTTAAAGTAAGTTTCAAATGCCTCTACGAACTAACACGAATGCTTCATGCTTTACAAGTAACGTTACAATGACTAATGTAACTTCACGTCCTCCTAATTTAACTTTCTACTCGCGGCTTTACACAACTTTCCTAAGCTTTCTCTGTCGTCCAAGGTGCTGGCCAAGAGCGTGCGGTCACCGAGGGTTTGTTCTGCCTCCTCTGCATTGAGACGCAGGTTAATCTGAAAGAAGATATCAAAAGGTAACGGCAAGTCAATGAGGATGTGCTATAAAGGTGATGGTGGTGTATAGTAAAAGGAAGCTGTGTGTGTGGGGGGTTGAGGTGGAAGTGGAGTGCTCAAGAGATGTGTCCCCTGAAGAAATATGTCTCCTATCTTTAAACTTTGTCTACATTTAAGACCTTTAAGACCTTAGTTTATCCAGTCTGCACAATTCTCTAACTCTTTGGTCTTCAGAGGCTTCACAGTACAGTACAGTCACGACAGTGTATGAAGTTTTGGGGAGGAATGTGTTGGTGATGACAATGACCAAATAAATAATCACTGTACTGTACACACACAAATACTGTCAAAGAAGAATGATATGATTAAGAGCAACAGGATACTGTACTATAAAATAACAAATTAGCAAGACATGAACGTGAGTAGTCAGGCTAAGGGTTGACCAGTGTTTGCTATGGTGGTTGGGAATTTTTTGAGAGCATGGAAAGTGAAAATGGGTGATAAAAGTATATAATTTAGAGGGGAATAGTATAATACAGAGGCGAGAAGGATGAATGAGGGAGAGGGATGCATCAGAAACAAAGGAGATGAATATCCAGGAAGCGGCAGAAGAGCACGTAAAATTATGAATGATTGCAAATCAAGTGTATGTGCATATGTTTATTATTTATTCCAGTCCAACCCTCCAACAGCTAATGGTTGAACAGTGTCTGCATCACTGAGCCTCACCTTAGAGCTGCGTAATTCCTTGGCACGCTTGACCTGCAGCATTCCCCGTGACTCCAGCAGCGTGCACACGGATAAAAACTCACTCTGATCCATACCAGGCATCTGGCGTTTCCTGCACACACGTGTGTACACCTCATGAAACTGAAACAAGAGAAAGGATTAGCTACAAATACAGTAATACTTTTCAAATGATCCTGGAAACAGGCAAAACCACAAAAATTTAAACCCATAAAATAAAATATCTCCCTACAAAATAAAACGGGAGTATAGTAGTGGTGATGTGTGGTACTGTACTGTAAACTTAACCATCCGATACTTATGGTTAAAAGATTATTTGATCTAGCAAGAGGAAGAATATGCAAAACTAGGACAAATCTTACTTCTCCCACAGTTTCTTTATAACATACAAAACTAGAAAAATCTTACCATTCCCAGTGTGACATCTTTTGACTTGGCATGCTTGAGAATGAGCAGGAGGCAGCAGATCAACACTTTCTGCTGTAGGGGGAAGCTCTCAGGGGCATCTGTCACAGCAGAGATCACCCGTGATCCATAAACTTCATTGAAGATGGACAGAACCTGTGGTATTTCGACCATTTTCATCCGCGGAGTTTCAGGTCGTTTGGATGGTGATTTTCGAGGACTCCCTATGAATGAGGTATGAGTGAACTATAAAACAAGTAACAAATTGGTATCACTGAACATTTATGCCAAAATGGGTCCATAATGATATCTTACTAAATTTCATTGTAAATTCAACTTGGAAAAGTAGATATTGGTACAATGTTGTAAAACTACCTAGATGTTATTTCCAACTAAATCACTTATTAAAGGCTGGATTGTGTGACAGAAGTAATAACTGAGATAACAAGAAACACAACTGTAGATCCTATCTGCCAGAACTCTTGAGACTCGAAGCTACAGCCCACCTCTACACTATGTTACACATTGGTAATGCCTCCAGTAAAAGGCTTCCCAGATGTAACAAAGTATGAGGATTCTATATGTTCCTATCCAAGGCTATGAGCACATCTTTGAGAAGGAACACAGGGTAATTATTCCATCATTTATTATTATTTTGCACTTTGTTCATCCTTCAACTAAGACTTTAAAAATTATACATACAACTGGGTGTATCTGTCAAAGTGGAGATACTTCAAGACTGATTTACAAGTCCACTCCCAGTACAGTTTGATAACTTTAGAGTTGTAGAATACATTAAAATTGAAAATGTTGCCATATATGGGAATGGTATATCATTCATGTCAATAATAATTATGATAAACATGGCCCACAAGGACTTCGCTTCGATTTGGGATGACAAATACTGACTTTGGACACAATTTTGAGATGGTTATCAGAAAAGGATGCGTGGATCAAGTGTTTACATTAAGGAATATAAATGAAAAGTTATGACAGAGGAGACTGGCTTCATCAATGGGATTTATGTACAGTATAGTATAAAGAAAAACTTTGATTCCAGCCATACCAACATCAAAACAGAAAAAGGCCTGAGACAGAAAAGACATTATATAAATAGGACTTTCATCTCTATATAATCTGTTAAATGGAGGTTTTACCCCCAACGAACCCTCAATGTAATGGACTTCACTTTCCGTTAAATAGAGGTTTCCCTGTAGCTCCCGATTAGACCTTCTTCTTAGGGTACATGATTCTATTAAGATGATCTACTTTACAGTGTTAGAATAAATGGAGAGGAAGCATCAATGAGCTCAGTTACTCGAGTGTACAACGACAAAAGAATGTTGCATTACCACGTGTGGGAGTCAAGACAGCTTGCCTCCGTGCTTTAACTTCACAGAGTTCAACTGCTCGTCTGCAGACATCTAAGGCCTTGCGCACGTCACCTGCCACCGAAGCAACTTTACCGGCCAAGAACTGGATGGCGGTTGGTCGAATTACTTGTACGTCTCCGAGCCCAGCCTGTAAATATAAGGCAGAGTTTTTCATACAAATAAAAATAATCTAGCCATCGTTACCTGTGTTAAGTGTCTGGTGACTATACATGTAACCTTTTCTCTCTTATATGGAAGTATCATAGGTGAAGGTTTTTGGGTAAATAGATGGATGGAACAGGTTACAGTAAAAACTCTATTTAATGAACAATATGGATATGAAAGTCCATTATATTGAGGGTCCATTTCATGAGAACCCTTCATCTAATTGATTACATGGAGAGAAGAGTCCATTGCATGGAAGTTTTACTGTAGTCACACCACACATGATAACAAAAAGAATGGGGTTAAGTTCTTGTGTATCAAATTCACGGAAGTAAAACTGAACTGGTCAACAGAAATAGTTAAATGCGATCCTGGATAATCAAAAAATATGTTGACCCCCCGACAGAAAATAAATTTTTGTTTGTGGTAAAATCTCAAATATAAAATGAACTTTGATCCACCTCACACCTTGACATAGTGCACATGAAAACAAAATGACATGGAGAAAGACAGAGGGAAAACAGTCAATGGAAGCAAAGGCAACTGAGATCTAGGGTCAGTTCATAGCAAGGCAGCTGACTGGGTGGTGGACGAACACACAAAGAGTCACTACAGTTCTTCAATATTTAATGTATTGTATTTATATTCTGATATTTTAAGGCATAATAACTATTCTGTGATGATGTCTGATAATTTCCACACTTGCGGAACACTCTGATAATAACAAAATATATCACAGAGACCACGAACATGATGACCAAAAGTCTGTGAAGTAAATCCCTCGTCACCGCATGATGTCACGCAGCATGGTGGAGGATGTAGCTGATATTTTTTAATATTTTTCTTGTTCTGTTTGTGATATTCATGTTACCAGAGCATGGGATCTAGGGGATTATGGGGATGTTATAGTCATTAATAGTGAATGGATGAGAGCAGAAGAGTATGTACTTGGTTCTCAACACCTGGAAACACAGTGGGAGAGAAGGCTAGCAAGACTGAACAAATTCAAATATCTTAAACAAATGAAGATCATACCTCCTGTATCCTGTGATTAATAATTTTAATGATCTCCGCCTTGGTATAGGGTGGGAAGTGGAGGAGCTTCGGCTTGAAGGTGGGCCGAGCCTGAAGCCGGGGCAGGATTCGGTCTGTCAGGTCGAGGGAGTTGGCAATGCCCACTAGCACCAGTGAGGAGCCTGCAAGTGCTGGCCACTCAAATATAGTGTACAATACCTCCTGATGCTTGCTGTCCAACTGGTCCACTTCATCAAGCATAATTAATCTACCAAATAAATAAATAAATAAAAACACATAAATAAACACAACTAGTCTCACATATTTATTTAGTTATTATTATTGTTATTAATGAAAGCTATTTTTGGGCCAGAGTCAAAGGTATCCAAACTAACACAGAGGGATGGCACATATTTTTCATATCCAAACAAAAATGGTTATTGCTGGAGGATTTTTTATTGTTTGGAGAAAGTCTGTTGTCAAAGTACATCTAACAGGGTAAAACACGGCTGATATCCAGACCTAAAAAGTGAGACAAGTGAGGGCCCATGGTAAACTATCTGGCTCTAATGTATCTGTAATTCCTTTACTGACTTCAGGATCAACTTTGAGATTAATCAGTAAGAACAAGGAGACATATATCAAGGTTTTACAGAACAGTGAGACCTCTATTTAAGGGACCATATATACCTTTATATCGAGGGTCTGTTAGATGTGGAAACCCCTCATCTAACGGGTTATACGAAGAGATAAGTCTGTTATATAGGTATTGAGGTTTTACAATATTTTCATATCTAGAATGGTGAAACATCACCCATACAACCCTCGTCATATGACCACCTAAGGCATCAGAGTTTTGATTCAATATCTAATATACCATTGTGAACACAGAGTTGATGGCCTTCTTTAAAACTAAAACTTGACAATACTGAAACACTAAAAAATCCTCTTCCAGTCAAAAATTGAATGAAATTCTTATGTTAGGATGTTTGGTGTACAAGAAGTGAATGCAGTTAAATTTGTTGCCACATTAACATTGATCAAAACAATGAAAAAGTAATACTGTACTTTTAGGTAACTGGCAACTACATATAACAAGTGTTACCACCACTGACATCATTTAGACAGACACAAGTTAAAACAATATCCAGGCAAATAAACTTCAAAAGTCACTTGCCCGGGACAAGTAAATGATCCACATAATCTGTACAGCCTGGTTAGGTGCTCTTACTCACACAGGACATTTTGATGTGGTTAGAGCCTTTTCAATGAGGTTCATGTTCTCCCTCTCTGTTGTCCGCACCTTGAGACCGAGCTCTGACACTATTGTTTTGTATATGGTGCCCGATGTCTTCAGTCTCATGCAGTTCAGGAACACCCTCTTAATTTTCTTTACCTGGAAGTGAATCTTAAAATAATCATCCCATTTCAAAAAAATAAAGTACAGCAGTATTAACAGAACTGCATATATACATAAAACATATACATACAGTACAGTACATTGTATTAGGAACAAGAATTCTGCCAACACTACTGATATTTTTCAAGTTATCACAGAAAGTCACCACACTAACCTGCTGAAAGTGAGTGTTTGTATACAGGAAATTTAAAAGGCAAAAACATTACAGTACAGTACAAGGGGAATACATGAAATACACACTGATAATAATTGGGCATTAAAATAAAAAACATTACTTACTTCTAAACTGTCAAGAATGGAGTTCAAAGATGCAGTTTTCCCCGTGCCTGGTGCACCAGAGACATAAAGAGACCCAGGCTTGGCTTTGGTCAGGTGATGTGTCAGAAACTCCTGCATGTCACAGATCTGCTTCTCTCTACACAACAACACAGTGGGAGTTCCCGTGTTCAAGCACTGACGAACAGAACGGTAAGCAGTCACTAGAGGAAAAGGAAGGAATTTCCATTATTTATATTGTTGGCTATGGAGAAGGACTTTTAGAGTATAAAGTATGTGTACAGTCAACTACTAAAGTTCATTCGCCTCTCCCCTGAACCACGAACCCCCAAGAGATTCAGACTCATGAACCCAAAGCAATAGACTGATAGATTATTCTGAACATAAATGCTTCGGATTCATGTGTCTGAATCTCTCGGGGGTTCGTGGTTCTGAGGGAGAGGACTTTAGTAGTTGATTGTACTTCCAAGGTGTCAGAGATTACAACTTGTCTCAAAAGATCAATGAGATGGTCAACTGCTGGTCTGTGATTATAAGCTAACATGATGTACGTTCATGGTGAGGCTAGCATGCCAAAACCCTGAATTTATGGCGTAGAAACAAACCTAAAGATGATGTATCATCCTGGTTAGTATTTAATAAACAAGATGATTTTACAACATTTCAATTAAAGACAGATAACTTTAGATTACTGATGAGACACACACACACCAGCTGCTGAACACTCCTCTCTGGACCAGTGCAGAGGGGATAAAAAGTGAAAAACAACATGAATAGACATGAATAATTTGAAAGTAAGCACTAAATCTATGTAAAAAAAAATTAAATAAATAAATAAATATATATACCCTGTGTAAGACTTACCATCAGGTTTAAAAAGTCCAACAGCTATGTCCTTCTTTGTACTAGTGGGACTGGCCAGTGAGAGTCTTGACACCAGGGAGGACGGGCTGCTCACATACATGGGAGACTGTGCAAACTTTCTCGGACTCCTTCGTGGGCTAGGAAAATTTTCTTGATTAAGCTTACGCGGTGATCTTCTCGGGCCGTCCACATCCAAACTTTTTAGCGGAGAATTTAATGGACTGTTCATGTCGAGACGTCTCAATGGTGACTTCATGGGGCTGCTTAAATCTAGGCGTTTCACCGTTGATCTGGCAGGACTGTGAAATGTTCCTCTATTGGTTATGTTGGACGATGACAATGGGGACTTCTGAGGGGTCTGCATCCTAGGTATTCTCGGCTCAATGCTGCCGGAAGATCTGGTAGGAGAGGAGAACCTGACTGGGCTCAACGGTACATTTTGTTGTGTTTTTCTGGGGGTCAAAGGTGAGGGAGAATTTTCACCATTCACATCGTCAGACATTAATTTGCGGCGAGCTTTAGATGGTGTCAGTTTTGTGGTCTCCAAAACCAGCTTTTGCATAACTGATCTCTTGGTAGGGCTCTGTCCACCATCTACATCTGCAAAAACAAATTAGCCTCAGCACAGTATACAATGAAAAATCCTGCCACTACTTCAAACACAAAAGTTAATGTATCTTATATTCATTCCTCTCTAACTTTTCTGTGCGATGGATCAAGAGGTAAAGACATTTCAAGAAGAGAAAATTATAGTGTTGTAAGACAAAGCTAATTTTTGGAGATGGAACCTAACCTCGTTTCATGATTCTAAGCTTAAGTGATTTACGAGTCATGGGACCTAAAGTAACATGGATTGGGTGGGATATACTGAATATGTACCACTTATTCTCACACATCTCCACACAATCCATAGAGTATCTTCCCTTAACCACAGCATATTGGCATACCTTATACATATCACAAACTTCTGAAATATTCTGAAAAATACTTTGCCTCCAACAATCAAATTCTGCTTGCACAATATGAATGGAATATTATCATTAACAAAGCTGCTCCTAAAGAAATGTAACTCACACACATGGAGTGGTACAAGCAAGATAATGGTGCAATTAACAGAGGAGAACGAATGATTGTACCGAGGACTGAAATTTACTACCGGTACAATGAAACCTCTATTTAACAGACTAAGTGGGGAGGAAAGTAGGTAATATCAAGGGTTGGTTAGATGTGAAGCCTCCATTTAATGGATTACATGGAAAGAGAAGTTCGTTATATGGAGGTTTCCCTGTATAGGCCAAGGCCGCTAATTAATCAGCACAGTTATGAATGTTGCTTGAGAATAAGATACAAAGCTGAAAGAACAAAAGTGGCAAGCAGAAGAAATTCAGATGAGACATTTCAACTGAGAGGATAAATTCACCAGGTCGTACAGTGCAGTACAACAGTGCCGGTGATATTCTAAAAATACAGTACTGTAGTTGCAGGTACTCTACTGTACATGTATTTTTGGCTTCAAGAAAATGGCATATGAAAAAAAATTATACTAATCTGCATTAAGGATTTAGCCCTGTATCACCTAGAAAAGCACAGCATCAACAAGCCATCATCAATGATCTGTAGCACTAACACATATACATCAGGCTATGGTATCTACAGCTCACCAGACACTCTTACTTCCTATTAAGTAACAAAAACACTGTAACTATCCGTATGATGTTATTCTTCACAATATTTTCTCGAGCCTCACCTGGTAAATCTGATCTCCGTTTGCTCGGTGTCTTGGATTCTCCTCGTCTCACAGGTGTTACCGACCTACGTGATGTTCTCCGTGGGTTCCCGCACACATCCGTCAGATTAGGTGAGATTTCACTTCTCCGCGATGATCTCTCTGGGCTGTGGTAACGGTCGGTAGTTTGTGTAGTAGTATCTCTGGGTGGACTGCTGCAGGTGTTGGCAGGTTTCAGTGGAGTGCCAACAAGTCGTGACGATCTCCGAGGGCTATCACACGTGTCGGCGATTTTTGCCGATGTTTCAGTTTTTCGTGAAGATCTCCATGGGCCGCTGTGTACATCCTTGAGTCTGTTTTGTGGTCCTGTCTTGGAAGGTGATATTAGTACATTATCAGTCACATCCAACTTGATATAACAGCTTTTGACACTTAAGTGAGACGAATCTGTTGAAATGACCGATTCAGACTTGGTCCCCGAGCACCGCGTTTTTCGTATGGGGAAACTGATTGCCTCCTGCTTTCCTGGCATCTGAAATACACGAATCACATTAAATGACTCGCATACATAAACGTACCATACCCATACATACACTGTACACATACACAACCAGGGATTGTGGTGATGTTGATATTATTCCAAATTGTCTTATTTTTATTACTTACTCTCATCCAAACAATATCTCTGGAAAAAATGAACTAATTCCATAAACTCCTTCCAATGTTAACAGTCTCCTGCAGTGTTTGTCGGAAAGTTTTATTTTGAGTTTTTTACTTTTTTATTTCACTTTAAGAAATGCAATTTTGATCACACAAAGTGGGCAGAGGGCTTTCAAGTACATAAAGAAAAATTGTGGGGTAAAAAACATAAAAATCCCTGATAAGACCTAACCTAACCTAACCTAACCAGAGAAACCAAAAGGACCTGATCTAACCTCCTAAGGAACCCCCTGTGTGTAAACCTAATCAAACCAAATAAGACACTACTGAATCTATACCTATTATGATATAGATTAACAATTATAATTACTATTTAAAACCCCTTTATAACTAGGCTTCAATGGCTCTCACACAGTCATCTCTCTTCTCACTCATTTCCCAACTCCCTGGGGATTAAATCATTATATTATCTGTAGTTATTTATTCCATGATGTCTTACCTTCCTTTATATATAACTGTATACGTTGGTAAATCACTTTTTCCTCTATAAAATTGGATTATAACTCGGGACACAAGAGACAGAGGCTGGGTGTTTACTCGTCTGTATTTGGCGGGAAACACTCACCCCATCAGCTGGTCTACCCTGACGCTGATTGGTCAACTTAACTTTCCCGCTAAATGTAAACTAATTGTTGATTGGTTGAATTCACGACCATTTAATATTAGTTGCTAGCTAAGTTTTTAAATAATCAATAATATGCCTCAATTAATAGCACTTGTGGAAATAAAACAAATATGAAAATTTAACGTATGTATTGTATTATATGTATAAATATATAACAGTTCTCTGGAGATATTTTTAAATGTGTTTCTATGTATAGTTTTGTCACGAAAAACACCATTGGCATCTGTTTAAATCACGCTAAAGATGTCTCCTCCCGAGGCATGAGGCGGGTCATTTAAAACATTCACAACAGCGTTTATTATTATTATTATTATTATTATTATTATTATTATTATTATTATTATTATTATTATTATTATTATTATTATTATTATTATTATTATTATTATTATTATTATTATTATTATTATTATTACTATTATTATTATTATTATTATTATTATTATTATTATTATTATTATTATTATTATTATTATTATTATTATTATTATTATTATTATTATTATTATTATTATTATTATTATTATTATTATTATTATTATTATTATTACTTTACCACCCATGTGCGTGTGTGCATGTATATGTACGTGTACATGTATATGTGTATGTATATACGTATATGTATGTATGTATATGTATATGTGTGTGTGTGTGTGTGTTTACATATATGTATATGTACTGTCAATGAATATGATGCAACTCTTTGTGTGTGAACCTCTGTCCTGCATGGCAGTGAGAAGTGATACCACCCTCAGTGTCAAGACCTGACTGAATTACTCAGAATAGGCAAACTGTACTACAAGCTCTGCCAATAAATTTGTTAAACTAAAATTCACAGTAAATTTATATTTGATTCAAATTCAGTCTACTGGCTAGCCTACTATACATTTACTTTTACTTTTATCCTCTTCGCCACTGATCGGAAAGTTGTATTTAAGTTAATATATAAATATGCAGATTTCTTTGTAGTAAGTTTGTCCACATACGACTGCAAGAGGCTACAGGTAGTAAATGTGATAGATGATTTACTTTTATCCTCTCCACATGTACTGAAGGCTCCCACATCGTCAGTTACAAGAGAAAATTCAGGTTACGAGTCTTTGGGAGTCAGGGAGTCTGGGGTGTGAGGTGCTGTGTATAATAAAAGCTTCCTGTCGTTTGTAAATATTTGGGGACTCTCACCTGGTACACGCTGCTTTATTTTTTCTTTAGAATGTCAAACTGAAATTAGTTTTACCCAGATATTCTATAAAAAACATATACATTACATTAATTCTCTCTATTGTAACTCGAGATAAGTGTATTTATGGTTTAGTCTCAGTGAAGTGTGAAGTCATGTGGCGTGGATTACTTAATATTTACTGACTAATAATTTAATTAAAGTCTCTTTCCACACACTTGTCATAAACGTAATTAACATCAAGTTTTAAGCATCTATTGTGTGACTTAACTCATGTTTGTGTTGACTGGCTGTGGTGGTGTATTATTGCGTTAACAACTAACAACCTTTGGGCCAGTATTATTTATTAACAATTAAAAACAGCAGGTAACAAAACAAGTGGTTGGTGTTGGTGTATCTGGACGTGGTGAGGCTTATGGAAAATGACGCCATCTGCAACCTGACTATAGATAAATACTATATACCCGTATATATTTCTTGTGTCCATGTTGAGTGCTAAGATCTTCATTTTCCGTATGTGTTTGCCACAGTTATGGATCCCGTACAGCTTAAACAATATTGAGCACCTTCAGAGGCTGCCCAGTTTAGTTTTTTCTTCGCTAGGAACAATGAGCTGAGTCAGTGTCCACGAGAACAGAGACTTGGATTGTGCCGAGTCAACTCAATGGAGAAGTTTAGATAAATCACTTAACAGTGTATGTGAAGTGTGATCAACCATTGTCGGTGTGAGGGGAAGGTTCACCAAGCCAGCTGCTACTTGTTGGCACCATACTCAATGGTGATCAATAATGCCGCCGTGCACAGCTGAACCCGGGAACCCCTTCTGGTGGCCGGGAGTGACACAGTTACCATCTCTTAACCATACATGAGAATCAAATTCTAATGATTCATAAATTAAGTATTTTTTAGTGCCTGCTAGAATCTAACATTTACATAAATATTACTTTAAATGAGATATGGCCTGTGTTGAAAATAAATAAAATAAAATACTCAAACAGAAGATCTTCCTGAAAATTGATTGGCAACATTGCTCCTTTGTTATATTACGCAGGCGCCACTTCATTCAGAAGACCGCTGACGACTCCAAGTATAGATCCTTCAGTAAGTACTGTACATTAACTTACTCCGACAACATCAACGCAGAAGACGTTTACTTCAGACGAAATAAATGAATGTGAGGAGAGCCACAAACTCCTGTCACACGAATGAATCACCGATAAATTTTTACTGTGGTGTACCCTGCCTTCCCCTGTGTCCATCATACAATGTCTCGCTCCAAAAAGCTGGTCTTCCGTCATCTTCGTGGTGTGCATTAATATAGGGTTTTTTCTCATCCATTTTTAATTTATTTTTACTCTCTTAATCTTCTCCCCCACTAGGCCCCGTTGTGGGTCGTGATCTTTGCCCGAGGTTCATGGTGCTTCAAACACAACGGCTGCAACACACACACACAGGTCATGGCACCATCTTATATGACCTCGATGGCAAGAAACAAGAACAATATGCGATTTTCAATATCCCTAATGGCGTCTGTATTTCTCATGGGACATTTTAAAGTGTTGAACATCGGGACGAGAAAAGCAAATTGACTTTTGGCCGTAAGGGAAATACTTGACACTGGTGATGGGAACATTATTTGAGTTACCAGACAGACACTCACACCTTCATTGTTTAGTTAATTTCTATTTAATTACACACGTTGTAAATGATGAATAATTTAATAGTGTGAAAAAGTATTATATGGAAGTTTAGTTCATCAGAAGCGTCAATATTTTTTTATTCGTATATAATATTTTTTGGGGGCCGAATTTTGTCGTAGAAAGAATGGATGGATGTTGTGAATTAAAGCGACAGTTTAAAGTTCTCCATACAGTAACTTCTGGTTGTATTTTACACTACAAGAGTATAACACGAATCATTAGTACCATAACCCAGGTTAAGTTAATCTATATACGTTACATTAACTTACATTTGGTTAAGTTTGGTTAGGTCTTATGGAAAACAAATACCAAAAAAATCGTGGTTTCAGGGATTTTTTTCCATTCCAAACATTCCTAATTAACCGATCAACTTCATTCCATTTTTTTAATTTCGTTGATAAATGTTATAATTCGTGGACGTTGATTGGTTGACGGCTAGTAAGTGAACTGTGACGTCACGCTAACAATTTACCTTGTCAATTAAAACAAAAAATGGTTGTGATTTTGTCGATGTGGCGTTGCAGCTCAATGAACAACTCATTAACTACCACGGGTTGTAATAGTGGTTGAGGAGGCCAAACGAGGGAGGAAACTAATTCAGTAAGTAGTAAACTCTACAACCCTGAATTTCCAGTGAGATAAAAAATTAGGACCCAGGAGAAATGAACCCTGCTCTAGCCAGCCATTGAGCCAGGAGCCATAACAGATCAGATTAATTTAGTAATGGTCGTTCAGAAATAGATCTGTGAATTATGACGGAGGGGAAGGAAATGTATCACTTGAAGATAAGGCACCCCAGCTTATTTTACATTAAGATTAACCCTTACCGAAACTTAACCTAACCTAACCTAACCTAACCTAATCTAACCTAACCCAACCTAACCTAACCTAACCTAACCAAATCTAACAGGACTAAGGGGGGGGGGGGAATCGGGTGCGACCATATGAATCTGTCTCTGTCTCTTTCTGTCTCTTTCTGTCTCTTACTGTCCTACTGAACTTTCTGGTTGTTGTTGTTGGGCGTAGGCTATTATGGTGGCGTGGCTCAGGTGGGCCTTACCTGTCGCTCTGCTGCTAATGAACCCCCATCTCCCCCCTCCCTCACCCCTACTACCACTACCACTACCACTTCCTCCTCCTACCTACCACCCCTACCTCCCTCACCCCTCCCTGTCACAAACTACCCTTCTCCCTACCACTTACGGTCATCGTCACACAAACGGTACGGCTCCATTTGATCAATACACCTTATCCAATCGGCACCTTCCACATCATCAATAAACGTAACCTAACCTAAACCCATATACACAACGTTTTATAATGATATACGACACACTTTCATATCCACGCGGTTTATCGGGACAATTAATTGGTATTTGGTGACTTATTTCCCCTTTACGTCAAAATAGTTACTGACAAACAGGTGTGCCTAATAACTTTGAAATACGTTGTTATGATGATCGGGGCAGTATTCTTAGTAAGTTACCCCCTCCCCCCCTCCTACCTTGGGCCAATTACCGGAACTGATAAGTAATCTAGTTTAATAAGTCCCCCCCCCCGGTTTACTAGGTTACCCCCTAAGTTAATACGTTTTCCCCTGAACTAATAATTTATTTCCCTAGTTTTATGAATTTCTCCCCTAAAATGTAAGTCTTACACCTTGCAAAATTTTTGACCAAAATTATACGTTTTTCTCAGAATTGAAATTTAAGGGTTTAACTAATTAAGTCCTTTAAGAATAACACACAAACAGTAAATCACTCCTTGGAAACCTATAGTTGATGAGTAATTCGCATTGAAAAATGTCAGTAACATCTTTCATGGGTCATTTTGGCCACTAATTACTCTGCAATCGAATCGTGGACCACATAATCATAATCAGCCAGCTCAGGAGTAGCCATACTGTGCTTTTCAGCAAAATTTAATTTTTGGCCCCAAACCACCAAAATGTAACCTTAACTACCTTAAGCTAATCTAATCCAATCTAACCTAATCTAATCTAATACATTATTCCACGTCATTAGTGAGTTATCTTGTATGAGCTCATAGTCATCTCAGCTAATTAATTACCCCAAAATATCTCAATTACTTTTTCTCTCAGGTTAATGACTCTCCCAGTTACCTCCGTGAGATATATTAGTGTATACTCTCGATAAGCCTGCCTTAATTAGTCAGCGTTTCTCATTATCACCACCGGTAATTGGCACAGCTCACCTGGCCAGATTGGACCGAACTATTGGCTATAGGGCACCTGGATGTATACGTCTCGATTATTGAATTATCTCAATAATCCGTATCTCAGTCGATACGGACCTAATGGGACCGTATTGGTCATTATTAAAAGACAGACGCAATAAACGATGGAAATAACATAAAGGCAAAAACTAAATACAAATAAGAATAAAAATCAAAGAAAATAAGAATAATGTTAGAAATGACTGATAACTCCAAGACACTGAACTAGACCAGCACTCAAACTAAACTGCACATGAAGGTGATGCCAACATTGGACAAGGTTACTACTGTTATATTATCGGTGTTGCTATGTTGGGTCATGGTGTCCTTGACCTTTGACCCTTGACCTTTTAGGACCTAAAAACAGACCAATTCTAGGGTGTTGACATGGCGACTGTATTGATCAGTCATATAAAGGTGTTGTCGGTCTGGTACAGTGATCGAGGAGGATTACAGTAAAACCTCGATATAATGGACTCTTCTATCTACGTAACCTCGATATAATGGATTCGTCTCTCCATGTTACCTCGATATAACGGACTTCCTCTCCATATAGTCCGCTAAATAGAGGTAAATATTGGAAATGGTCGTAGCAAACTTGTCTTTTATCATTAATCCCTTGAGTACGACAGCCTTAAGCCCTCGAGTACGATGACAGTAAGGTTTTGTACTCGAGGGGGTCATCGTACTCAAGGGGCTATCATCGTACTCAAAGGTTAATATCACTATCACTGGACAGCCTTACTCACGTCAATGAATCAACGATGAATAAAGAAACAAAACAATGAAACAAAATAATGAATCAACGATGAATAAAGAATCAAAACAATGAATCAACGATGAATAAAGAATCAAAACAATGAATCAACGATGCCAGTAAAACCCCCCAAAGTTCAATAAAATATAACTCTCAACAACTTATAAGCAAAGACGATAAAATGATGGCAGGGAGACGGAAGGAATGATGTTTTGTATCTGTTGGGGAGTTGATTGTTATTGTCGGGGTGAGAGAGAGAGAGAGAGAGAGAGAGAGAAGGAATAAAGATAAAAAGGAAAGCGCAGTAAGAAAGAGCGAGAGAACGTGGGAGTAAGAAGAGACAGAGAGAAGGGGAGAGAGCGTGGTGAAAGAGAGAGAGAGAGAGAGAGAGAGAGAGAGGGGAGCGGCTGGGTTGGTGGTGGTGGTGGAGCCTAGCACTAACAGGTTGTTGCTAGCAGACACAGCGAGAGCACACGCACCTCCTCTCTCCTGCGGCGGCTGATACGCTGTTCCACCACCTTCTGCCGCCGCTGCTTCCCTCACCGCCCACAGCTGTTGTTTTGCTGCTCATACACAAACAACACCCCATCATGGAAGCCTGAGATGTTATAATACGAGCAGAAATAAACCAGGAGAGAAGAGGAGTGGATTAATTTATACATTTTTCATGGAAATAGAATGCCAGTGGGTGCACCGGGAGTGACAGTGATTGTGGCAATAATAAATACGATCCTTATACCCTTGACCTGAGGACCTGGATCACCCTGAAGTGGTTTACAGGTAGGAGATACAAGCCTAAACATATAATGATTCTTTAAGATATATCTCCAGTGGACATATGAACGATATACAGTATGTCATTGTTCCTCTGTTTAATACGCAGTTAAATGTCAGATGAATACTGTTATCCCAACCCAGAGTTAAAGACGACGTATCACAGGAAGTAAAAAAAAAAATATAACAACAAAAAAGAAATAGGCTCGTATAGTGATTTATTTACAGTTCTCAGCCATGTTCCAATATTTTTATTTTCAAAACAAACAACCAACCGATCGGAAAATAAACTTAAACTTCTCTCTGTTGGTCATGTAAAATATAAACTGTTGAATGAGAGAGAGAGAGAGACAGAGAGGGAGAAAGAGAGAGATATATCGAGAAGACATATTGTGAGAAAAATGACCTGAGATAATCGATTAAGCGGACTGAATATATTAACCAAGGTAGTTTATCCGGACCTTCGTTTAACCGGACCTTCGTTTAACCGGACCTTCGTTTAACCGGACCTTTGAGGGTAACTGGATAATCTTAAAAAAGGTAAGACATTTATGTAATTATATCGTGGATAATTAGTTGATTATTATAATTTTATGATACTGAATTATTATAAGATTATCTGTTTGTGTGTGTAATTATTTAATATATTCTTACCCTATTTAATCTACCTTACAGTGTATAATCCAATATAATCCTAATCTGTCTTAAGCTAGGCATTATAAAACCTGATTAAATCCCAAGCTTTGTTTTGCACGATTAATAAGCTAATGAGCATAATTAAATCCCATCATTCCTTACTCTATGAAATCAAGCATAATTATTCCGTCATTAAATCAAGCATAATTAATCCCTGTCATTAAATCAAGCATAATTAATCCGTCATTAAATCAAGCATAATTAATCCCTGTCATTAAATCAAGCATAATTAATCCCTGTCATTAAATCAAGCCTAATTAATCCCTGTCATCATTCTAAATAATCAGGAATAATTACTCATTAATCTTCTTTACGTTATAAATAATTAGGCTGAGGAGTTACCTGTTATACCTGTGTACCTAGAGGCTAATTATTTTGGTGTTTGTTAATTAATGCGGTACAGTTAATATAACGAGTTGGATGAGGGAAGGTTTTGGAGTGAGTGAGCGAGTGAGTGAGTGAGTGAGTGAGTGAGTGAGTGAGTGAGTGAGTGTGAGTGAGTGAGTGAGGGTGATTGAGTGAAGTTGTGAGTAAGTGAGTGAGTGAGTGAGTTAGTGAGTGAAGGTGTGTGAGTGAGAGTGAGTTAGTGAGTGAGTGAGTTAGTGAGTGAGTGAGGGTGAGTGAGAGTGAGTTATTGAGTGAGTGAGTGAGTGAGTGAGTGAGTGTGTGAGTGAGTTGGTGGTGAGTGAGGTGAGAGAGGTGAGTGGTGAAGGTGTGGTGGGTGAGGTGAGTGAGGTGGAGTGGGGGTGGTGGTGAGGTGTGGTGGAGGTGGAGTGAGGTGGGTAAAGGTGTGGTGGAGTGTGTGTGGGTGAGGTGAGGTGGGTGGTGGAGGTGGTGGGTGGTGGGGGTGGAGGGGTGAGTGAGGTGGGTGGTGAAGGTGTGGAGTGGTGTGGTTGTGGTGGGTGTGTGGGTTGGTGAATGAGTGAGGTGGTGGAGTGGTAAGGTGGTGGTGAGTTGTGAGTGAGTTATTGAGTGAGTGGTGGTGGTGGTGGAGTGAGTGAGCGTGGTGGGTGAGTGAGTGAAGGTGTGAGTGAGTGAGAGGTGTAGTGAGTGTATTGGTGAGTTGGTGGTGGTGAGGTGGTGGTGGTGGTGAGGTGGTGGTGAGGTTATTGAGTGGGTTATTGGTGGGTTGGTGGTGGAGTGGTGTGAGTGTGGAGTGGTGAGGTGGTGGTGGTGGGTGGTGGTGGAGTGTGGTGGTGAGTGAGGTGGTGGTGGGTGTGTGAGTGTGTGGTGAGTTGGTGGTGGGTGGGTGAGTCAAGGTGTGGTGGTGTGTGAGTGAGTGAGTCAAGGTGTGGTGAGTGTGTGTGTGTGTGTGTGTATGTGTGTGTATATAAATCAAAATGTTGTTTTATGTATACATTATAGATGGTATAAATTAAATTTCGGTAAGGAAAAGTTAAAGCCAGTGTGTGTGTGTGTGTGTGTGTGTGTGTGTGTGTGTGTGTGTGTGTGTGTGTAGGGCTCCCAACACACCCAGCTGGCAGGTGACGCCTAGAAAGTTGTAAACAAATGACTGGCGGAAGTTGGTCACTATTTTTCTAAACTTAATTAATAATGATAAAACATAACTGATTTATGGATAATATTTCACCTAACCTAACCTAACCTAACCTAACGTGTCGAGGGTTAAGGAGTTCTATTACTGAATAAATCTGACTCGATGGTGAAGCTGACTAAAATGTTTACAAAAGTCCACAAAATGTTTACAGTGTGATATTTTTACCCCCTCCTCCTCCTCCTCCTCCTCCCCACAGGCCTCAGGAACCAGGTCTATCTGTTACAGTACTTGAGCTGTTAGGTTAGGTTAGGTCTCTCTATATAGTACTTGAGCTGTTAGTATCTTGACGAGGAAAACAGAATACTTAAGTACATCTGGTCATTATACGGACCAATCAAGTACATCTGGCCATTATACGGACCAATCAAGTACATCTGGTCATTATACGGACCAATCAAGTACATCTGGCCATTATACGGACCAATCAAGTACATCTGGTCAGTATTTTAATTGAGGAATATCTTAATATTTCTCAATCTTTTGTCTTAGTTGTTGAAGAGAGAAGACAAGTGTGTGTGTGTGTGTGTGTGTGTGTGTGTGTGTGTGTGTGTGTGTGTGTGTGTGTGTGTGTGTGCCCCTTCCTCTGGTTGGCCTCTGACGTCTATGAGTGACATATCTATCGATGTATTCTTGTTCGTGACGTAATGGCTGACACACATTAGTTGTTTCCAAATTATAGACCATGACGTCAGAGTCGACACACATTCTCTGATATATCTTTAGCTTGCTTGACGCCTTCGTAAAAATTAATTCTGGTGTCGTCTCCTCATCTACTCAGGCCGCTGATTAAACCATTGCTAATATGGCCAATGGATCGGTGTTTACTTGTAGTAGTTAATGACGTAGCTGTCGATGCGCGTTTGTTTACATATTCTCCTCTCTGACGTAGTGGTCGACACACGCCATCTATTGAAACTCTGCTTTGTGAGCTTGAAGGTGGGAAGGAAGGGAGGAGATGGGAAGGAAGGGAGGAGATGGGAAGGAAGGGAGGAGATGGGAAGGGAGACTGGGTGAAAAAAAGGGAAGGGATAAAGAAAAGAGAGAGAGAGCTGTCGAGTGAAAGGAAAGGGGAAGGAGACAAAAACTGGGAGGTGAAGTAGATTAAAGTGGGAAAAGATCTAAGGGCTAAGGGGGCTGGGAGGTGATGGGAGAGAGGGAGAGGGAGAGAAGGATGGAGTCAGGGAAGTAGAGGTAAATGGATGAGGAATGGAGTCAGGAGGAGGAAATGGAAGGGAAGAGGAAGTGAAGAAAACAGGAGAGATGGATTGAAGAGACGCCCAACCAGCGACCCCTGAGGACTGTAGGCAAGTTCTCAAACCACTCGGCCACCTTACCAGCTCACGGAAAAGTAAATTAATCTCGATACTACAGTGAAGATGATCTCTGTCAGGTACCACAGGTGAAAGTGTTGACAGTGACACGGGAGGGACTGGGGCGTGACCACTGTGATGTGAGACAGACGTGAGACATGAGACGTGACTCCCCTTCACCACTAACTCAGGGTCACGGTGTTTACCTGATCCGGGAGGGAGGACACACGGCGCTTGTCTCCCTCCCTGTGTTTTGTTGTTACCACACAGCACACCCCAGGTCACACAGCACACCCCAGGTCACACAGCACACCCCAGGTCACACAGCACACCCCAGGTCACACACACACCCCCAGGTCACACACACACACCCATGGTAGTGTGAGGTTAAAACACAATGGTTGAAGGATCACTTGGCCCTAACCTAACCAAGCAATGTGACGTAAGAAGAATCCTGGAGATGGTGTTGTGCTGTGGTGGGTAATGTGATGCTGGGGGGGACCTGTGATGCTGGGGGGGACCTGTGATGCTGGGGGGACCTGTGATGCTGGGGGGACCCTGGGGGGGGACCTGTGATGCTGGGGGACCTGTGATGCTGGGGGGGGACCTGTGATGCTGGGGGGGACCTGTGATGCTGGGGGGGACCTGTGATGCTGGGGGGACCTGTGATGCTGGGGGGGGACCTGTGATGCTGGGGGGACCTGTGATGCTGGGGGGACCTGTGTATACCTTATCGTATGACTCTCTCTCTCTCTCTCTCTCCTATATCGACCCTCATAAAACAAAAGACTATCCCAGTCTTGTCTTACCAAAAATCATGGAAGTCAGGATATGATTGATGAGGACTGTATACCAAGACAGATCACTCGAGGCTCTTGTTAGTGTTCTTACCTTTGATGTTTCTCTCACGATAATGGTACTTGGAAACTCTTCTGTAGCTCCGCCCATATACACTATGATGTCATTTGCATTCGTAACTAATGTAGAAATATTTTTTGTACACACTAAGAAATCGAGGCTAATTACATAATATTCTACAAATATTTACTATAGTTTATTGACAAAAGCTGGAATCATCGAGAAAAAGAGTTAAATCTGCCCTTGATGGTGAAATTTTGTCTTATTATTGGAACCACGACAATTTCTGCTTCTCTTCGGTAAAAAAACACCTTGGAACCTGTTGCGTCTTCTCGAACTCGAAGTGTGTAAACCGCTAATGTTATCTTTGTTATGTTATTTCATCTCTCACTTCACGACTTCTCTTCTACTGTATACGTTAGTGCAAACTTTTTCCATCTATATTTCTAAAGTTGTTGTTAATTATCAGTTTGTTATCAGTTAGATATCAGGTAGGTATTAATTAGGCATCAGGTGGGTATTAATTAGGCATTAGGTGGGTATTAATTAGGCATCAGGTGGGTATTAATTAGGCATCAGGTGGGTATTAATTAGGCATCAGGTGTGTATTAATCAAGTATCAGGTGAGTATCAGACCTATTAGCTATTAATGGGGCTATTAAACCTGAAATTGGATGCATCGTTTATGGGTGGGCGGTCATAGTTCAGGGCGGTGTGTACTGAGTGTGGCGGTGTTGACACGGTACACATGAAGGGCGGCGCAGAGTGAGGGCGGCGACACCTACACAGCCACCAGTCAGCCCTCACGATGCTGGGTGGCTGTGTGGGCGGCGACATCTACCACAGCCACCCAGTCAGCCCTCACGATGCTGGGTGGCTGTGTGGGCGGCGACACCTACCACATCCACCCACTCAGCCCTCACGATGCTGGGTGGCTGTGTGGGCGGCGACACCTACCACAACCACCCACTCAGCCCTCACGATGCTGGGTGGCTGTGTGGGCGGCGACACCTACACAGCCATCCAGTCAGCCCTCACGATGCTGGGTGGCTGTGTGGGCGGCGACACCTACACAGCCATCCAGTCAGCCCTCACGATGCTGGGTGGCTGTGTGGGCG